GAATATCTTAGCACAGTGAGAAAAGTGCAGACTTGAGGCATATACTTGCTGAAATCCTAGTCTCATTCACTTAGTCTCCATATGGCCTTGGGCAACTTAACCTCTCATTGCCTAAATTTCAGCATTTTACTATAAGGATATTTACTATATATATATATATATATATTTTATATATAAATAAATATAATATAAATATATATTTATATAAGTTTACTATATATACAGACATATATGTATATATATATATATATATATATATATATACAAGTACTAGTGATATTTAATTTGGATGAATGTATCTTGATAAGAAGCAACCAAGAAAATAGCATTACATGGACTTGGTGATGCCAAAAGACATATGCAGAAGAGTCTGAAGCTTCTTTAGAACCCAGCAATGACAAATCTTCTTGCAGTCATAGAATCAATGTTGGTTTCCTCTCATTCTGGGTGTCTGTAGCTGCCATTCTTCAAACAACAGACTGATACAGGCCCACCACCTATAGAGTATAAAGGTATAAATTAGTTTATATTCAATTCTGTCTCTTTCATGTGTTCTTTTCTGCATGTTTTAAAGCACCTAGTAATTATTCCTACTGTATTAAATGAGACAAATCTGTTACCTTGATTAACAACATGCATAATGACTAAGTATAGCATTTCAATATTATGTAAACTAGGCCAGAATTTACCACAGATTTGATATTATGCAAGCTAAAGGGTAATATAGCAGCTTTTAATTTAAATCATTAATACTTTCCTAGAAAAAATAATGATGAAGTTTGTAAGAAAAGATACTCATAGAATTTCAAAATATACTATAACAGTAACCAATTACTAAGAGAAAAGACTTCGCAGATCAACAGTTTTTCTATGGCTAGGCACCCATAGCTCAATCCTATAATCCTAGCTACTCATGAGGCTGGGATCTGAGGATCACAGTTTGAAGCTAGCCAGGACCAGAAAGGCCCTGAAACTTGTATCTCCAAGTAATCACCAGAAAAGCCAAAGTAGAGCTGTGGCTCAAGTGCTAGAGCCTTAGCCTTAAGCACAAAAGCTGAAGGATAGTGCTCAGACCCTGAGTTCAAGCCCCAGGACCAGAAAAAAAGAAAAAAAAAAGATTTTCTATATGTACACACATTACATGCTTCCTGGGATAATTTGAAGTTTCACACACAAGCCTGAATCCAGCATTCAGAACATAAAAGACACTCTAAACATTTATACTCTAAACACTTTGATGATAGGCAATTTTAACTTCTAGAATTCAAATATGTATAAGTGATTATATTTCTTGGCTAGCATATTATGTGATACATGATATCCCATAAACTAAAATTTAAAAAATCCATTGGTATTTGGGAGGTGGGGAAGGAAGAGATGGTAGGGGGGAAAAACAAAGGAGGGGGTAACAATGTTCCATAGGAAATGTACTCATTACCTTACTCATGTAACTGTAACCTCTATGGACAGTATCTTTACAATAAAAAATATATATTGAAAAAATCCAATGGTTTATCTATATATTTCATTTATCATTTAATACTGCAAAATGAAAAATAAATACTGACTGGACTATAATAATACAACAGACCAAATAGATAGATGATAAATGAGAGGTGATAGATAATAGATTAGATAGATAGACAATAAAAGATAGATATATATAAATATAGATATATATTATACTATTTAATTTCTGTATGTTGCTATCTCAATTTTCCCAATACCAATACATCCTTTAAGACTATCTGGCTTTTA